GGGGGATGATTATTAGGATGTTCAGGGAGGTATGGCTCTCAGGGGGAAGGGTCGAGTAAGCTAGGTTGCTTGACCGACCCGTGGCCCATAAAATTATAATCAGCTCGCAAGGATATTGCCTCCTGTGCCATCAGTCGCCAGTATCTCACAGGCCGAACTAGATATTCCAGAGTACAGCTCGACGGCCAAAAGGTTAAAGGTTCAGGTTTCAGATCGCCGAGGCAGAGCATTTTCTGTCTGTATTTTTCTACATACAGTGGGTCATCAGTCCGAAAGTATCTTGCGTGCCTGGCTGTCCAGATACATGTAGTGGAGCGAGGTCCATTCTTGGGATTGCACTTCGGACAGCATTGTTACTCTGATTTCATGAACCGCCACCCAAACCCATAACTTATCCCCCACAGAATAGGGACGTTGCAGAAGCATATAATCTCAGCAAAGCTGCCATAACGTCACATTGTTTCAGTTCTTGCATAGGATGGGCGAGCATCAGGATTGTTGCATCTGGTCTGTTGTGGTCCATTGGACAGCATGATGCACCTTGAATAAATGCGCGGTCGTTTTTCACAGCTGATCTGCCAAGATCAGCGACGGAGAGATCTTCACCCGTTCTTTTCAAGAAGCAGGGTCCACAAGGCCCCAATTTTTATTTTTGTGAGGAGGCAGCTGCCTGCGCTGGGCTGGGCAATTGCGGGGATGCTCTCTACTCCCCGGTACACCCCCCCCCCCCCCCCCCCCCCCCCCCCCCCCGCCCACACACACACACACACACGCGTGATGCGCGGGGTTCGACCGGAGGTCTGCTGGGCTGGTCGACCATCCGGTCCGACTGGCAGCGGTCGGGGGAGGGGTCCCCTGTCCAACCGGGAACCGGCCCTGTTTAAAAGGAAAAACGAGTAGATTAGTGAATTTGATAAGATCATACAGGAAATGCCAAGCTGTGGGTTACATTCAGGTTCTCTTTGGAGTGAAATCCAGTGAAAAGTTCCCTTCTAGGTTGTTGGGGAAATCATTCTGGACCATTGTTTTTATGCAACTCCAGAGGAGTAAGATTTCATCTGGCTTTGGTGATAAGCAGTGTCGATTTCATCTGGGTTTGCTGGTCAGCAGTGACTCTACCGCCCTGGGCAAAGGTGTGAGAAGTTTGAGGAAGGGCAGGTTGCCGCTATGTGAAATCTCCACCTGTCATCAGTCGTTCAGATGTACGCTATGTCTGCCACATACTTGATTGGTTGACACACACTGTCTGTCGCACACTTGATTATCATGACGGAATTTTATCTACAGTACTCTCTTCCTGTCATGCATTGTATAGATGACTGTTGGATGGTTGCAAGTATCTTGTGATGGACGTGCTCTGGGTGTCGTGTGTGTTGTGTTTTGCAATTGAGAAAATGCTCCTTTCTTACTTTGGCGATTGTGAATTCTCTGTATGTGAGGTGAGTGAAGACCTTTTGGGGCATCAGTGATCCTCGGCTGCTATGACAAGGAGGAACCGCAGCTGTGGATGATCGAGCCATCGGGAGTCGCCTATGTGAGTTCCAATAGATGCACAACAGCCAATCTTCCATCTATTTCCAAGTTTTGTTGTTGTGTTTGTCCCTTAATAAGCAGCCTGCTCGTGCAGGTCATTGCTGCATTGTGAATGTTTGCGGCTGAAGTAGGGACGATGTCAAGTTGTTTTTTGTTGCAGTTCCAGTACCTTTATTTTCCTTTTCTAGCTGAATTACCTCATTGTAAACATCGCAGGCCCAATTCCTTGTATCTGAGTGCATGCACCGTTTTTTGCTGTCACGGTCACAGCCATTTGCTTGGTGGAGTTATGGCCCTAGCTATCGCCACAGTCACATGACCTTTGCATTCACAGTCACATTGTTCAGTAGTTCATGTTTTTTGCAGACACGGTCACACACACACACACACACACACACACACACACACTGAACCACACAAATGTGGCCAACCTTGCATTTTCTATTATATTGCCTATCTAAACTTTTTCGTTATGGATGGCTTGTGATGATTTGTGAAGGGAATGAGAGAGAGAATCTGGGGTCTTTTAAAAAAACACACATTCCGGTGTTGCTAGCTCCCTGTCTTGGCAGATTTGAGCGACTAGGATCGGGCTCGTACTAGCGAGCTATTCTCTCTTTTTGTGGTTGGATATGTCGTGTTGGTTTTGTTGATTATACATGGCCTAATTCCTTGCCCTGCTTTAGAGCATGGGCTGTTTGGATGTTTACGGGTGGCCACGAGTTCTCTTTGGGGGGAATGTATGTTTTGTGGGCSGGCGTGGAAGGCTTTCCCAGTTTTCTTCGGACCCTTAGCGCACACACACACACACACACACACACACACAGAGAGAGAGAGAGAGAGAGAGAGAGAGAGAGAGAGAGAGAGAGGTGGGACGAGCCGTGTGATTGTCAAGTAAATAAAGGAAGGTATCTGTTGGCCTCTGATGTTGTATTATGAAAGGCTTGTGCATGAAATGGTTGAGATTATCTGAGTAGTTGTTAATGATATCCGGTGTGTTCGTCGGACTTCGTCCTGAAGCAGAGGGGATATAGAAGTGAACAATAAGAATTTGCCAGAGAGTTGGGGAGAGAAGCGAACAGAAAAGAGGACCGGAGTAGAGATTCCGACTCTGAAACCCCTTCCGTCTTTGCCCGAATAAAATGCCCTGTCGTTATGGCTTTACTTCGATTGAAAGTTGCCGAGAATACAGCTATATTGATCCGTCCCTTCTCCGGAACTCGGTATTTAGATCTGTTTTTAGATCCGTATTTAGATGGAAGGTTGCCCAAAATACGGCTGTAATGACCCGGGAGTTCTCTTCAGGTGAACGCCTGCATGCTGCATGCTGGATCATTACGAAATGAGTGCCAGACACTGTCCATTTCTTATTGGGATTGAGTGGCATTTGTACCTCTTGTCCTGAAGCAGAAGGGAAAGAAAGTGCAAAGGTGAAAGCACATCAGATGTAGATGTTGATGCCCCATACTTGGTCGCATGACTGCAGTCCCGTAGTACTTATCGTGAAGCTAAGGACTAGCCAGGTGTAGATGTTGATGTTCCAGTGCCTGACAAGCACCCAGTGTAAATGCATGCCTGGGAATTTTACATGTTTTTCATGACAGGTATGGGGGCATGACATTGCATGCTTGAATGGAGATGTGATGTGCTTAGATCTCCATTTGTTCAATTTGGTTCTGTTAAGGACAAGATATATGTAGTTGTTTCGTTTGCGGGAGAATTGTAGGGAGTCTGGTGTATCAGTTGATGCGTTGTGTTCAAAATGTGATGTGCTTAGATCTCAATTTGTTTAATTTTGTTCGGTTAATAACAACTTACGTAGTTGTTTCTGACTGTTGCGCAAGTTTTATGGTCACCTTTTGCGCTAGAATCGTAGGAAATCTGGTGTATGAGATGATGCCTTGTGTTCTGCCCATGCCTTCTGGTTTCATGTTGCTCAACCTTCCACATATTGTCCAGACCTTCTCAGAAACTCTATATTCAACGGTCTAACTTGCCTCCCATTCTTCGCTTTGTGTGCCTTTCTGTGCATGTTGCAACATTCAGCGTTACTTCGGCACTGCTATTGGAAAAGGTCGGCAAGCAGCAAAGACGTAAGTTGAGCCAGTCATACCTGTTTACATGTGTGACGCAAGAAGTTCCGTCTTTCCCACAAACAGAATGCGGAGTCATTACACCTGCCTGTCAATGCACAAGTATCTTCACTGTACGATAGTTTGCATCCTATGTGCGCAGACACAACCAGCTCATGGGTCATGCTGCTCCGTACTTTGGATGGACATGTGGAGAAGAAACAGGGGGAGGTGGTGTTGCAGTCTGAGTAGTTCCCACTGCTCCTTTCTCTCATCGCAGTCTTCCGTGGCCATATCCAATGCATTGTCTTGATACATGCTGGTGCTTTCTCCTGATCATCTCCTCTCCGACTCCCTACTTTGCAAGTAGCTTGCGGTATTTGCTTTGGTTGCACTATTGAGGTATTTTCTGAGATTCAGGGTTTTCTTTCATTGTTTGCTTTCGCTCCACTGTTGTGGTATTTGCTCCAGTTGAAGGATTCACCGGTGGATTTGTCTATGGTAATGTTGCGCAGTCACTGTGCGTAACGGGCTGTGTGTGACTCTGCCCTCGACGGCAGAGATTCTCTGTAACTACTCTTTTCCGAGTTTTCACACACTTTCTGTTCGATGTGTTTGACAGTGAGATTGAGAAGCTGAAGTTGTCGGAGATGACCTGCAGGGAAGGAGTGATAGAGGTTGCCAAGATGTGAGTCTCTTTCTCTCTCTCTCTCTCTCTCTCTCTCTCTCTCTCTCTCTCACACACACACACACACACACACACACATCTATGCTTTTTCGTTATGGATGGCTTGTGATGATTTGTGAAGGGAATGAGAGAGAATCTGGGGTCTTTTAAAACAACACACACACACACACACACACACGGTACGTTCTTGCTGGAGGAGTCTTCTGTCTTAGATAAGTTCTCTTATCTTCTTCCTCTTTGGCAGTGACGCGAGTGCGTAGTTTGAGATGAATGTCGGGAATGCCAATGCTGTTATATTTGATTGTTTTTGGTACACGAGTTTTTAGTTTTGTGGGCCAATGCGGAAGGGTCTCCAAGTTTTTTCAGACCTTTGAGGGGGTCGGGTTGGTGCCTTCTTGCTGGAGTAGTCTTCTGTCTTAGGTAAGTTGCCTTCCGCTCTCCATCTCCTTATGGTTTGCAATATATATGTATACAATATACATATGTATATGTGCAAGTGTGCCGTTTTGGCGGCAGACGGGTGTGTGGGAACTTGGCGCTGAACCACACAAACATGGCCATCTTTGCATTTTCTATTATATTGCCTATCTATACTTTTTCATTATGGATGGCTTGTGATGATTGGTGAAGGGAATGAGAGAGAGAGTCTGGGGTCTTTTAAAACAACACACACACAAAATGGCTGCAAGGGAGGAGGGCCAGCATCCTACGAATACGCCGGCGGTAGCTGAAAGTATACTGCTTCCACCGCCGCCATCGCCACACCACCACCGCCATCATCATCACCATCACCACCCCCTCCTCTTCCGCCACCACCCCCTGCTCTTCCACCAACACCTCCACCACCTCCAGCACCACCACCGCAGACTCCATCTCTGCCACCATCATCGTCATCACCTCCAGAACCATCATTACCAAGACTTCCCCCGCCGACATCTTCTACTACAATCCCTCTTCCATCTGCCTCCTCTACTTCTCCTTCTTCCTCTTCTCCTTCTTCCCCCTCTGCCACCTCGGAGGCCTCCTCTTCGTCATCGACCTCAGCGTCGTCATCACCATCACCATCATCACGTTCATTATCTGATCAGCCGCGACAAAGGCCCCGTTGGCGGACGCATACGTTAGTTGAGCATTGCAGATGCCTCTTCGGCAGCGACGTACTCCGGCTCCACCGCCGCCTCCAAGACAGCACCCTCGTTTATCCTAGGAATGGCATGATCACTGCGCCTCCTACAGGGATTAGAGATCTACTCCGCCGGCATGCTCGCAACCGTTCGGAACGACCTTGTTGCCCTCAATACACGCTAGCCAGGAATGGTACATGTTGAGTCCGATGCCCGCAATGTGGCAATGATTTCTTCAGTGCTGCCGGCCTACTTGTGCAGCGTTTGCACGACTAGCAGCCCCTCTAAGCATAAGTGCGGCTGATCAGCTTCCGCTTCCCACATCTGGTCCACCCAGTTCTCACCCCCTCTGACCCGCCCCTCTGTCATCCACTGAGCCCCGCGTGCTCCCCTGGCCCAAATGATAATGACCCGTCTGCTGATGACGTGATGGAGGCCCCTATTGAAGATCATCTCTCTCCAGAGCACATGCTAGAGCCAATTGGTGAAGACGGGAATGAGTCTCAGCCACCTGTGCAATCTGCAGAATTGCACGAATCTCCCCCTGCAGTTTGGTTGGCATGTACACGGCATAGCCTCTGCTCCGAACACTATGAAGGGATGGTCGCTGCTAGCCCCTCCCATGAAAACTGTGATCCCTTGTGTTGTCCTCATCCCCCCTCCCCAGCATGCCGTCCCCCAACCCAGCATGCTGTTGTGGCCTTCCTCTGCCATGCTTAAATAACTGTGCACATCAGCCTATCATACTGATGACATGTCAGCAACATGCCTTGTGCCGTGAGGATTGTGAAGGGATAGTCGGATCATAGTCCATGCGAGTTTTTGGTTTCATACATATGACAGTAGCCAGTACCGTACTCATGTACAGCACCCTGACATGTCTTGTCCAGTTTGTAGACGGGCTGGAACGGCAATGCCTCTATAATTGCAGTCAATGTGCCACTGTGTTCCTAGCATGTAGGAGCCACGTAGCCTGTGACATCTCTCTGCACCGCGCCATTGGATGCAGCAACTGTGACTACGAAAATTGGATGTGGTGCTTCCACAGTCCACACCTGAACCCGTCCTGTCCGGTCAGTTGGGTGGCCACTTACCATAGCCAATAGCTGCTGCTCAACTCAAAATCTTATGCAACCCAACACTAACTGACCTCATGCACCATTCTAAAGTAGTCTGTTCCAGCGGTGAGTGTTTAGAATTCTGCGAAGGCCGTCATATACCTCTCCCCTGCCCTTCGCATGTCATACTTTATCCTGTCCTTCACATATTTCTCTCCCTGCCCTTTGCACTCAACCTCCCCCTACCCCACACACCTATAGAACTCCGCCTTCTATCCCTTTCCCTCCACCCTCCCCTTTTGTGCTACTAGCAAATACATACGAATGAGCATCGATAAGAGAACAGAGGATATGAAGATCAGAAATGAAATGAACAGGAGTATGAAGACGAAGGACAGACACAAACACTAAGTATAAGCTGAAGATCTGAAGTGAAATGATCAGGAATATGAAGATCTGAAGAGAAGTGCACAGGAGCATACCTTCCCTTCTACTCTGCCTCCTGTAACGTGCAAATGGGCCGTTAAGGCACACGGGCGTGCGGGCAGCTGCCGCTTAACCACCGTCAACGTGGGCAGCCTTGTCCGTGCGAGGCATAGTGAAAAAGGAGCTGTTGCCTCAAAGAAACCCCAACTAAAAACGGTTCAAAATGGTTACATTATGATTCATGTTGCTTGCTAAAGAGGTAAATTCTTTAATTGTTGGGCTGGCTCAACTCGAATCTACTCGTCTGGGTGGAATAGGGCCTGTTGTGGTGAAAATTCAAAACACACTCGCAAACGCACGCAGACACAAATTGAGCACTTTTGTCATGATGGTTGCGATGATGATAAAGTTACAGTGAAAACACAGGCAGAGACTGTCAAGATGTATGATACTAGGATCATGTGTGCGTCGACGCCTTGCATTTGAGTGGATAAGCCACAATTGCTTTTGTGAGAAAGTGACTGACACTGGTATCGTGTGTGACGACAAGATGCTGAGTTCCTTTTCCTGGCTACCAATCATCCATTTGGTTGGTACTGAAACTCCATCTGGTCTGGTCTGCTCTAACCGCTGCTACTCAGCAGACCAGAGCACAGGGAGTTTCAGTACGATGATTGATAACTGAAAGTGGGTGTATATCCGATAAGTCCGTGTAAACGGTGGCAGAATGGTGTGAGGACCACTGGTCTTGAGGACATGGCATGTGCACACGGGGGCTTCTCCTGATGAGGACATGGCATGTGCAAACGGGGGCTTTTCCTGATCTACCCTCTCCTGTAATTGTTGTTGAATTCAGTTCTGTTCCGCAAAACAAACAACGTCATAGGGAATCCTCTGCAATCGAACTTCGTTTAGTTTTCACGGTAAGAAATACCGAGACAGTTGGGTTTTGTACGAGTCTTATATGTCCCAAGGCCACGAAGTGGTAGTGTTGCCAGTTGGGATAGCTTGTAATTACAGCTGATGTAAGCCTGTGGAGGCCAACCTTTCTGCATTGGTGGTCCTTTTGGCTGAATGAGCTGATGTAAGCCTGTGGAATTGAGGGAGTTATTAGGATTTTGACCGCTTTGTTGTCTGTGCAGCATTTATGGGGTTCACGATGAGGCCAAGGATAAAGCATTTGAGTTGGAGATGAGCTGGATATGTGATGAATCGAACAGGGAGCACCAGCTGGTACGTATGTAAATACTAAATAAATAAGTATTAATGATATTATGATGTAATCTGGGCTACTAGAGTGGTCCGGGACCCCACTTGCTCGGCCGGGCCAAAAAAAGTAAAAAGTACTAAAAACATGTATGTTACCGGGGCGGACGTCCGGGGGCCCCTGACCATCCGCGGTTGTCCGGTCGGACAACCAGTTGGATGTAAAAAATCCGAAAAAAAATTACGTTATGCAGAAAGATAAACGGAACGACTTTTGCCTTGGGGGTCACATCGAAATTCGTTATCAAATTTAAAATAAAAAATCAGATTAAAAACATCGCCAATTACGTTATGCAGAAATATAAGATTAAAAACACTGCTGAAAATGGAGTTGTCCTGGTCTGGACGTCCGGGCCCCCCCTGACTGTCCGGCCAGGACGTCCAGCCATCGGACAACTGGTATCCTCAAAAAAAAAAGGAAAAATTATTTTAAAAATATTTTTAATTTAATGTATGTTAAATTTGGTAAAGAATTTCAATGTGACCCTGAGGCAAAAGTTGTTCAGTTTATGTTTCTGCATAACTTCTTTTTTTTCGGATTTTTCGGATTTTTAATTTTTTCTTTTCTTTTTCTGGGACCTCCCCTGGTCCGTGCACGGCAAGGCCGCCCGGAAAAGGAAAGTGACCCGGGCGGCCCGACTGGTAGCCTAGGATGTAATCTCTTTGATGAAAGAGATCTTTTGTGAGGAAGAAGCACGCATACAAGTTTTGCATGAGGTGTGTGCATGCAGGCATGCTTGTGTGACAGGCATTGAGCGTGCAGTTCATACACGTGTATGTTCACCATATGTATGTGGAAGGGACTCTGTTAAAGCACCAGTACATGGCCCCAGCCAAGTTGAGAGTCCGGTTGTGCCTCTCCTAAAATTTAGGAGGCTTGCACGCCGTCAATAAAATGAATAGACTCCAAGGTGCCCTTGGCCGATGGCTGGTATGAATACTGGTGGTTTGAGCTCCTCCTCCCGCCAGGAGCCTATATTTATGACAGGAGAAATCATGTCTGTCGACTTGCCAGCTTGTTTCACATCCCCCTCATCAGACAAACTGTCACTGCTAAGATGGGTACGTATGACATGGGCTAAAGAAAGAAAGAAAGAAAAACGAAACCTGGCGTGCTTTCAAGGTCGGTGTAGCAATTTTGTGTGTCCCGCATGAACACGTCGAAGTGACAAGTTTGCTTGACAATTGAAACTCGAAAAGGATTCCGGTGTAATCTTGTTGATGTGTCTTCTTTGGGGTAAATACTAAATAGTAGTTATGTTATGGTATGGATCCATTCGATACTTTCTGGCCTCAGGCCCATCCTTGTCGACTTCGGGGTAGTAGTAGTTATGGATCCATACTTCCTGGCCGCAGGCCCATCTGTGCACGCACGGAAACAACTGGCACCCTTGGCCACAATACCCAAGCCTCTAAGCCACTATAGCCAGCACAGTGTCTAAATTTCTCTAAAAGTGAAATCGTGCCTGTCGTGATATCCACCCCGCCCCCGCAAGGCCCACGAGGTTGTATGTACACGCATCCAATGCCTTGTAAGTCTGAAGGTACCCATCTGTGTTTTTCAGACTTTTTCCATGAAAAAAAAATTATGCACTTGGATCTTGGAAGTTACATTATTTCTCGGCCTTTTGGCTAAAAAAATAGTAAAATAGATCTTGTACTTGTTCTGATCGGTTTAACATCTGATATCTGCATCCGATGCCTTGTAAGTCTGAAGGTACCCTTCTGTGTTTTTTTCCAACTTTTTTGGACTTTTTCCCATGAAGAAACAAAAAAAATGCACTTGGAAGTTCTATTGTTTCTCGGCCTTTCGCCAAAAAAATAAGTAAAATAGACCTAGTACCTGTTCTGATCAGTTTCACATCTGATCTGTGGTCCATCGGGCCACATTCAGAAAAAAAAGAAAAAAAGGAAAAAAGAAAAAAGAGAAAAAAAGAGAAAAAAAAGAAAAAAGAAACTGTCTGCCGACATATGCATCATCGATAGAACCTGTGTTAACAGGCAGATGATTGTTAATGATTCTTGTGCTACCGGTCGTTATTCCAGCATGTGCAGCAACATGCAGCAATAGTGACTGCTGTACGTCCTATTCGGGGGAAGACAGTAGACAAATGATACTGCCAAAGTCAGTGGGTTTGCGATGGAGGCTCTGTCATGCAGAAACGTTTGTAAAGGTCGAGATGTTTTTTTCAACTTTTTAGTTTTCCGAGTGCCCGTGATGACCTGCAAAGAGGAGCACTTGTATCTGTGTTAGTGTTGTGCGTGTCAAACTCCAAGTGCTGTTTGTCTTCAGAAGGTACCTGTTTCTTTCCTAAACTCAGCTTTCTCTTTCTTTTCTTTTTTTCCCTCAATCTCAACAGGTGCCACGTGAGTTGTTAGCCCAGGCGGAGGCAGCTGCCAAGGCTGCACAGGAAGAGGAGGACATGGAGGATTGATGGACGGAAAGCGGCTTTTGCTTATCATTGAGCTTTGCAGCATTATAGTTTTCTTGTCGTGTTCTTTCGTCTCGTCCTCCTCCTCTTCTTTTTCTCAAGTTCGTTTTACAGCTCTTTTTAGCAATTCAAGCAGGAGTTTTGTTTTCCTTTTAGAATAAGAACTTTGCCGCGTACGGGTTTCGCAAATTTTCTCTTTTTTAAAGCTTTTTTCTCATCGCCCCAAATTTGCTGTTGTTATCTGCTGCTGCTGCGGGTCGGTCTGTTTGTGTGTGTGTGTGTGGGGGGGGGGGGGCTCTATGGTTACGAGTCTGAAAACGAATCCATTTTAGAGGGTCTTTTAAACAATAGAGTATTGAATCATTTTTTGTGTTTTGTTTTTGGATGAATCACAAGCTTCCGAGTTTCTCTTTTTTTCTCATGGCCACAAATTTGCTGTTGTTATGTCTGCTGCTGTGCTTTTGTGTGGCTCTATGTCTGTTAGTCTGGACTCTGGAAACGTTTCCATTTCAGAGGGTGTTTGAAGTTTGAACGTTAGAGGGTGGGGAGGGGGGGGGCGGGTTGGCGTGATGAGATTGCGATGAATCATGAATCACATTTTCATTATTTGGATATGCGTTTGGGTGCTGCACACCATCCTTCGGCACCTCGAATATCATTGTTGTTCATTGGTGCACAATTTCATTGTTGATGTTTTGTTACACGAGTGTTCTTGGTTGCACATCGGCCTTTTCCGTCTTGTAGTTGCAACCTGCGATTCTTCTGCAGGTAAACTGGGATTTTTCTGCAGGTAAACTGGGATTTTTCTGCAGGTAAACTGGGATTTTTCTGCAGGTAAACTGTCTTGTTCGACCAAAATAGCCGGGAAGCGGACCGGTGGATTAAGGTGCCAAAAGACAAGCCGGTGTGTGCGGGAAATGGAGTGTTTTTAACTGTTTTTGCTGGATCCCCCAGCGTTTCGTGTCTGGTAGGCCCAGACTGCAACTGTGTGGAGCGTTAGCCGCCGTGTTGGTGAACAAAATATCTGGGAAACAGACTGGGTGCTCGTGGATTTGGTGAATGATCTGAACGTGGACTCGATGATGGATCTGGTGGCGGCGGATTTGATTAATAATTCTGCGTTTGACATGTGCAGGTGGCTCGGGCATTGTGGCTTTTCCCACCCAGATGGGCCTGATGGCCCTGATCAGTCTCTTTCCACACTGCTGTGATGGATGACCAAACCAGATGTTCCTTCAGTTATATAACACTTTTTTCTTTTTCGAGTGCTATGTATCGCATGTTATTCCCACCAAGATTACAGAAAGAAAGGAAAGATATCCATTCGAAAAGATGCCCACCCACTCAGCTCTTGTCTTAGCAGCAGGGTATTTAGGTTTTTTTTTTTTGGTTTTGTTTTTTTGGTCCGGGACCAATGTGGCCTGCGCAAGGGATGGGCCAAACACAGAGTCAAAAAAAAAAGATGTTAAAAAAATATGAAAAAAACATATGTTACCAGGGTAACTGGCGTTCGGGATGGGCCGAAAGTAAAACAAAAAAAAAAACAATTCAAAAAAATCCTAGGCTACCAGAGTGGCCTGTGGCCACTTGCTGGGCCGGGCCACAAAAAAAAAAATTAAAAAATTAAAAATTATTTTTGAACTTTACTGTTTATTTTAAACATGGTAAAGAATTTCAATGTGACCTTGAGGGAAAAATTGTTCAGTTTATTTTTGTGCATAACATAGTTTTTCTTCGGATTTTTTTTATTTTTTATTATTATTATTTTTTTTGCTAGGACGTTCCCTGGTCCTTGCATGGTCTTCGGATTTTTATTATTTTTTATTATTACTATTTTTTTGCTAGGACCTTCCCTGGTCCGTGCCGGGCCTGGACGTCTGACCCGGGTGGCCCGGCCGGTAGCATAAAAAAAATATGAAAAAAAGTTATGTTATGAAGATAAATACAATAAACAACATTTGCCTGAGCATTACATTCAAATTCCTTACCAAATTTAAAATAAAATTTAAAAACAGAATAAAAAATAAGAATAAAATAAGAAAAAATAACAAGAGAACAAAAATTAGCGAGTGAGAGAACGTTTTCGATACTGCCATCTTTGGCAATTTTTCTGTTTTTTTTGGCAAAGACAAATACCCTGAAAATTTACAGATGTGTACTTCACACAATACAAAACGTACAGAAAAAAATTCAAAAAATAATAAAATTGTTTAGGCCTCACAATAAAGTGAAAACAAAAAGTAAAAAGTGAAAAAAATAATCACGTATTGACTCCGCCGTCTTTGGTGATTTTTAATTTTGGTTTGGCTTGGCAAAATGACTTAAAGGCATGCACCTCACATCATAGAGAACTCACAAAAACAATTCAGAAAAAGAAAGTTATTTTTAGGGCCCAAAATATTTTTTGGCGGGGGTTGAACGCCTTCGGGTTTGGACCCCGAATGGGACCATGAACGCTCGGACGTATGGAGGTCGGGCTGGGGACCTTTGTACATACGTACGGGCTGGAGTTGCAGAAATTTGGGCAGCGATTTCCGTAGGAAAAGTGTTTTTCCAAAATTTATACAAAGCCAGAATAGTAAATAAACTTATCCCATAGAATGGTGAAATTGAACAAAAATTAAATTTAACTGAAAAAATGCAGGAATTGAACTAACTCATACAGCTCCAGCATATGACGAGCATCTAAGGCGACTAAGCTATCGAAGAATTTCCTAAAGATCCCACAATGCGTACACAAGTGAGCGCACACAATATTTTTTGTCAACCTTCAAGTTCCTTCCTAGATTACATAGTTGGTTTAAGTCTCTCATTGTTACCTTTTCTACTCTTCTTTACATAAGGCATAAGATTAGACAAACCATAAGGCATAAGATCAAACAACACAACCTCTGGATGTGAATGACTTGCCAATTATATGAGAAGGCCACACCGACTTATGGTGCCATAGCTTGGTAGAACAAATTAAACATAAGGCATAGGACCAAGTCACACCAACTTATGGTGTGATCAGTTTCTGCCTAGACGATCGATATAAGGCGTATGACCGGGCCGCACCAACTTATGGTGAGGGTGGTCAGCCTGAACATTTGACATAATTATCTGAGTCATCTCAACTTATGAGAGGTTCAGCCTTTGCATGAACAAACGACGAGAGACACATAAGGAAAACACACCAACTTATGGTGTGGCTAACTAGCCCAAACGATGACATATAGCGTAGAACTAGTCTACTTAAGTCATAAGGAGTCTAGCCCGCTGAAACAGCGAACAAATGCGTGTGTCCGAACATCTCGCAACTTATGCGTTCGCCCAGTCTCCACAATACAATACATTAAATAAGTACAACCCACAAATGCGTGTGACCGAACATCCTACAACTTCTGCGTTCGCCCAGTCTCCGCAAAACAACTACATTCAATAAGTAAGGTCACAATTTTTTTGTCTTCGGACGAGTGGTCAGGTCATCTCAACTTATCAGGATCCTTATTCAAACATCAGTTCTGTTTTTTTAAAAAGAATCTCTTAGCCTTTGCATTATTAGGGGCATATGATCGACTACCCAACTCATGGATGAGTTAGCTTGCCCAAAGTTACTTCTCAATTTTATATTGTAAATTGTATTTATTTTTTGCTGTGTCAGGTACCGGCTTATATGGTTAGATCTTTGAACGTGTGGCGCCTAGCCCGCCAATGATATACTTGATATATAATTATATCATATTGTATATTCTGCTTTCACTTATGTTCGCGGTTCATGACTTGGTCACACCAACTTATGGTGTGTTGGTGTGATTAGCCTCTGTTTGTGCCCCCTCACATCGAATTGGACACACGTACTTAGAATGTGTCCAGCTCTGTTCAACAATAAAAGAGAACAACGATTTTGAGTACCCAACTTATGGGTCTCATCCTTCAATCAGAAACCTCAAAGAAAACATGCGACCGAGCCGTCCAACTCATGGAGCGTCCTAACCTTTAAAAGTCAGGCGAACAGCCCATCATACCAAAAGAAACATAACAGAGTTCACACACTTATAATGGATTTGGCCTTTGATTGACCCGGTCAGATGCAAGTAAAACAACCTTCCTCACGCCTTCCCTTAACTCATTCTGTCAGAATTCAGTCAAATAAATCTGAAGTACCATACATATTTGTTAATTTAACCCTTTTCCAGATCAAGTTCCAAAAAAACTAACAAAATTAAGTGTTCTCAATCATACTTTCAAATAGAGGGTTGATCAGATGTGCAAAATGAGCACTATACTTGAGTGTTCCTTACCTCGAGAACCCTGCCTTGACTCCCGCAAAGCTTTCGCAATCAGTGGGTTGATCTTCCACAAGGTCTTGTTGTTGATTACGGGTTTTCGATCGTGCCTGCCGCCTTCCTCTTCGAACTAGTCAGGCTAGATTTAAAGTAAAAGAGGCAGATATATCGAGTCTTTAAGATATTAGAGGGGTGCGCTCAGACTCGCGGAAGAGGGCCTTGGAATCTTGAATCGCTTGAGGGTCTCGCAATGGTGATCGAAAACGCAGTGAAAGCGGAATATCACGATCAAAATGCAGAGTAACAGCCTTCTGGCGGTGCTCCAAGCCACAGCAATAACCCTTTTTTGAGAGTTTGACCACCTCTTCAAGTCACCACGCCCCCACCTCTGACAACACTGCAACTATTGAGCTTAGAAAGGTCGCACTCGAATACAACATATCCCCTGTGTTCTACTCGAAGTGGGAGCAAATTTTGCAAATAGGAGTATGCAATGCCATGCATAGTATTTTCGTACGACAATAACAATCTCTCCTTACACACTAGTTCACCCTACATCATTGTTGCAGCTCTTGTCGCAGTCTATCAACTGCCTCGTTGTCGAGAGACCAAACAAGCGTCAACTTTGGGGAGCAACAACCCTTTGCTTCAATCAACAAACCTGGCAAAAGCGGACCTGGCCCTATCACAACCAGTACCGGCCTCCTATTAATTAAGTTGAATCCCTCTAGCCTCACTCCATGCACAAAGATCAAAAGAGTGGGCAGTGTGGGCGATATCATTGTGCGGTCTCAACAATGTTGATGTACACAAAAAAGAGTCGTGCCTTCGACTGAAATGAGCACCGTTGAGACCTCAACTAACCAAATATGCTAAGCAGCCGCCTCAGCCGCCTGAGTTGCCTGAGTCTCTATCACAATCAATAGATACAAAGGAGTGGCTGATAGTAGCAAAACAATTGACGGCAACATCATTGCGATCTCAAACAAGTTAAAGACGAGCCTTCAACTAGTGCATGAGCAGATATACACTCAGTTCTCCATTGTCTGTCTGCCTTCTCTACCACACCACACAGTTTCCTTCTTCACTACTCCACTTCTTTATTCATCAACTAATCAACAGGTGAGATCGTCCAAAAACAGATCATCAATTACGCCACCAACCCAACTATCTCCCACTCGGCAATGGACACGAGCGACAACCTTTCTCCGAACTTCAACTTACCGTTCCACTCCTTCAAACTCACCTTATCTGGAGCCTACGGTCCTATATTTCCAACCCATGCAATTGAAAGAAAAAAGCGTGGAACGGGTGCTCACGAAGCAAGGGGGAAGGAGGTCATGGTCACATATAGACGATGATCAGCACGAAGCAACGTCTTCTCTGTATTTACGTTGATTACTGACGTACTTACCAGCACATGTAGAGAACCTAAGACTATGAACACAAAACACCGAGCACAGGGGTAGTGATCATGAGATCGATAAAAAAAACGACTAGCTGGCGCCCAGAATTGAGTAGTCCCTCCATCAGCAGGGTTCGACGACGATTTTGAGGATGTCAACAGAAAACAACATCCCGACAAGATCAGCAACGTGATCCGGTAAGCAGCTTTGAGATTGACAATCAATGAATCGTACTGGTGATTACGAATGTTATACGCGCAACTCTTCTCCTACACTTACCAAATGTGCAAATTGAGAATGAATCTTCCACTAGAACACGGAAAGATACACCGCGACGAATAGACTCGTTATGAATGCTAT